GTATTCAGCCGGGACCCTCCCCCGCAACGTCGCCTACGCATTGTCTATCAGTTATGGTTTGTGGCGAATGGCCAGGCCCTTTCGTTGTCATGAGTGAGAATTGCCGTTAAAACGGATGCTATTAATAATTTTTTTCGTTTGCCCGGTGGCGCCCGTTTAGGAGGTGGTGGTCGGTGTAGCACTTGGTGATTTTCGCTATCACTTCGGAAGCCTCTCACACGAGCTTCCACATACTAATGAGAGCGCACGCTGCAACGTTGCACTGGCCAAAGCCGCACCGGCATCACCACAGGGACGCGTATATCGCATCTCCAGAGCGACACTCTCTATGGACTCAGGTGCAGGCACCCCCGAGGCCGAAACCCCCACCACCACTTGGTTCCCCGACCAGCACGAGGTCGCGGACATCGAGCGCCAGTGTGAGGAGGAGCTTGCTCAAGCGCAACACACGCCACCACCATCGCCACCGCCTAATGTTGGCACGTGGACTTCACTACGCCTAGGCACTTTCAATAACCGCCTCAACAAACGGCTTGAGGAGCGTGCTCAATGGAAACACCGCCGCATGTTCAGTCGTTATGACCACGCCTTACCCACTAAAGAAGTGCTTGACCTAGCTAATCAAGTGTTTGGCTTTGACGGGTGGCTGCACCGCGTGGTGAGCTCTACTCCCCTAGATATTGAAGTGGAAAAAAGAGAAAATCAAGAAGATTTGATCGTGGCTCGTATACAAGTGAACGTCGAGGTATGGTTCTATGACGGTACAGCAATGATGGTGGAAGGGTTTGGTGTGGGGCGTTCCACACATAGGGGCGTGGCGATCGCTACCAGCCGCCACAGTGCAATGAGCGACGCCATTAAAAGCGCTTTTCTCAGCTTACAGGATGAGGCTACGTTCGCCGACATGTACATCGCCCACGACCACCGTCTCGAACCAGAAGAAAACGTCGATACCAGTTATGATCACGCGGGGTTTATTACCTCTATATAATATTAGCATTCTTAAAAGTCTAGCATCGCTTTGACAGGGAATTTGGGCACTGCCGGCACGGGGATGGGGTCGATCAAGTACACGTTCCCGTCGTCGTCCAACCGCTCGCGGTCGCGGTCGCTCATGTTGTGGATTTCTTCGAGATTATCGGTGATAAACAGCACCAACTCCACCCAGTTGTGTTGGATTTGCACTGCACGTTCTCGTTGGTGGCGACGCAAAAGCCCCTCGATAAGATTGGAGGCATCGGGCTGTTGTTGCTCCAACCGCTCAATCAACCGCCCCACCGAGCGAATCAAGTACTCCTCTTCATAAATAGTACCCTTACGCCCCTTAGCCCGCTTTCTATCCTCACGCTTACGGTTCTTAGCCGTCTTTCTCAGCGCCCCCGTCTTCGCCGTCCCCAGCGTCTTACCAGTGTAACGAGTGAAGAACGATGGCGTCGTTGAAGTTTCCGAAGGAGCAATCAGCACGTTGTCAGCAGTATCCTGTTCGGGCATGCCGTAGAAGGTGAAAGGGTCCTCGGCCTTCTTATCCCGCAACTCCCTCAAACGCCGCAACTGCAGGTTCATCTGCTGCTTACAGTCGGCAAGCAACTCGGCGATAGTACCGAAACCTTCACCCAATTGCGGGTCAATTATCAGCTCAATAAGCTCGGGTCTCCCCAGCAGCTTCGCTAAGAGGATAGCTTGGTCGTAGTGGTAGTGCTTACAGTAAAGCACACACGCGGCGTCGACGTTGCCCAACACAAACCGCTCGATTTCAGCGGCTTCGACGTAGCGGTGGTCGCTTTCAAGGCTCGCCACCAAGTCAGTGGCAACTGTACGGTAGCGGTCTTGGTCCTGGGCCACGAGCGCCAACGCCTCCTTCCACCGCTTGGCCAACACCCACAGCTCGAGGGCAGCGTCGTCGAGGCCCAAGTACTCGTAGGTAAGCCCAGCGTCGGGGTACTGCTTGTCGTCAAACAAGTACTGAGCGTAGAGACGGTACACCTCTTCAGTACGTTGGGTGTTGTTCTCCTTGGTATAGATGGCAATCGCCTGTTTGTAAAGATGGTGTTGGACCATGTAGTCATCGAACTCCTGGGCTTCCGCCAACTCAAAGAGCCAGCCGAGAGCCTTAGTGTAGTTCTTAAGATGGTCGTCAATCAAAAACTTCTGGCGGAGAGGCAGTTGTTGGTGCAAGTTCTGGAGGAAAGGGAGGTACTCCTTGGGGTCCATTTGCGAGTGTTGCGCCACCAGAAGGGCAAGGCGCACATTGTAGATCGCCAACAGCAGGTTGTAGAGTTTGTAGACGTCGTACAAGAAGCACAAATGGGTGATGGCCAGTTCGCGGTGGTCTTCGTCCTTAAGTCCACCAATAAGCTTAAGCGCATCCTCGATATTGGGAGGTTTCTGACACGCGTAGGCAGTGATGATCGTTTGTAAGTATTGGTCGTGGTTTTGAGGCTTTTCAAGCACCTTAAGGATGGCCTCACAGATGCGGTTAACCTTGGAGTTAGCGTCGCGCTCACCGTGGCGTTCATGACGGATAATCCGCTTAGTACCCTCACCTTCGTCGATAAGCGTCAGCGACGCTAATTGTTCAGTTACGGCCGCCACGGGTTCGCCGTCGTCACCTTTAGTTTCCCTGTATTTAACTTCAGCCACATTCTCTTCCTTCAAGCACAGCACAAATAAGTCAAGGTGTTCCACTTTACCCAATTGAGCCACAAACTTATCGACGTTAGCCATGAACAAATCAGGCCGGTAGTCGTGTAAGATGTCCAAGTCGATGCGATGAGTACGACACGCCATAAACGCTTGGTAGTACTCACCAGCCACAATCAACTGGCGTACGGCTGAAAGCACCATAATACGCGGGTAGATTGTCTCCAAGTTACCTCTGGGAGCTTCAAGCACCACCGAGTACTTCAGAGGCATCACGTTGACCAAAAACGACCCCCTCTCAATTGCACGCACCCGCTCGTCGTTCAACTCACCAAAGTTGATGTTTTCAGTGATGGCTTGGTCCAAGTGAATGAAGCAAAGCTGCAGTTGCGAGGTGGTGAACAAAAGATGCAGTTCCGAGAGTTTGAGCGAGGTGGCGTTAGTGCACACTTCATGGTCGTTGGCGTAGAGCTTAGCCAGCGCCGAGATACCAAAGGCAGTGTCGTTAAGCACCTCAATCTCCCGACAAAGCTGAGGGAAAGTAGTGATATAAGTGGGTTCGCCATCTTGGGAATAAGTGAACACTTGTCCGTCTCTTAATTCGACAGCCAACGCAGTAAGGTCAGCGGTGGCCTTAACCACTACTGCTTTAGTTTCCAAATCCACTACTCGGCTCACCAGACCGTCTAACTCGTAAAACACCAACGACGTAAACGCTGCTTGGTCAATCGCCACCACCACGGTATCGTCGCCGATAAATGCCACATACTTGGCGAAACCAGGGTCCATCGCGGCACTGGTTTCCACTTTGGGAGCAGGCAGCAGCGGCAGTTCCATGGCCGCAGTGATGTGAAGCTGAGTGGTGCCAACAGCAGCAAACCGAGTACCGCTACGGTTAGTGCACACGTCGATAATCGGTTCAGGCACATACACTTCTCTGAAACTGACGGGAGGAGGCACGTTAGCCACCGCGAGAGGAGTGATCTTGATTTCGTCGCCATCAGTTACAAGGGTCATCCCCTGGTCGGCACCCATTGTCGTCGCCCCAGTGTGGACGGTAGTGGCCAAATCAAACATCTCGAGGCTTACTTCGGTGGCTACCATCAACAGCAACGGCTTTTCCGGGTGCCATCTGTGGAATTTGACGGGGGACGAGAAATTGTACACTTGCTTCAAGTACCAGTGGTAGTTCTTTGTCGTCCACAATTGTACTTGATTGTCCAATTGGATCAGCAAAACCCCCAGGTCACACGACCATTGCATGTCAACAATTACTGCTGACTCAGGGTTGAGTCTTGAGTTGAACTCGCCGTGTCTGAGCCCATTACGCTCGTAGAAAACCACGTCAAGCACGTCGTCACCATCGTCATCGGTGTGGCGTTGAGTCAGGGCAATCAAAGCCCCCTGAGGTTTCCACGCCAAGTTGTGTTCGAGACCATCAACAGCTTCGTTCACCAGATCAAGAACACCGTCTCTCAGGAACACTCTGATAACACGACGGTCGTAGCTCTCTCCGGTGTCTTCGACGGCCACGGGCTCAATTGTAGATATAGCAAAGTACTCACCGTCGCCTCTCCATGAGACTTTGGTGGTGTGACGATCTAGCGGCGAGAGAGTTCCGCGTTCCACTTCATTGACGGTAGGGTCTCTCAACTCTCCTTCCTGAGTGAGCCCTGCGTGTTTAAGCGCTTCCCGCTCACGAGCATGGGCTCCTCTCCCCTTAAACTGAGTCTCTTTTTTACCCCAGCCCACCGATACGTGTTTAGAGTCCAGGATCTTAATATCGTTAGCGTCCAACTGCTTATCACAAATAGGGTCATCAAACAGGCGTGGAAGCAAGAGCACCTTATTGTCGTTGGTGACAAGGGTAATGATCTCGTCGTCAGGCGACCATTGGGCTGCCTGGAGGCCGCTATCGATCAGACCCACGATCTCCACCGTGGTGGAGTCGCAGTCGGCTTCGGGGACATAAGTAGCCACCACGAGGTCCCCTCCGGTGAATACAAACACGAGCTGGGTCCAGTCGTCAAAATGGGCAAACAGTAACACGTCCCCGGGCGCAGAGACGGCAAACGAGGCGAGCACTACCCGTTGGCCCGACTTTTGCATCTGCTGGACCTCGACGTATTCATCGTTGGCGAGACAGCAGGTGATGCTGTCGGCAACCGGGTCGTATGTCAGCGCCACCACCGGAAGATCCGGGTACGTGAGCGACTCGAGAACTATCTCGCCCCGGTTTAGCGTGACAAGGTTCTTCATAGTATATGGGTGCGAGCCGCGATGGCGATGGCGCAATATGATAAGGGGACCCGGATGCGGATCCAGAGGTGGAAATGCAATATGAAATTATGCTAGAAAGATGATGAGCTGATAAATTTGATCTAAGACCTAAATTTCAAATATAAGATGTTGGTAACTTTTTTTACCTTAAGCCTTTAGTCTGGGGATGCGATGAGGGGACTCTTGGTGAAATGCGACTGCAGCACGAGTGTAAGCCGTCTCACTGACCATCGGCAATGGCTACGGCAACGGCAAATGCTAGATCCCCGTGCCGGCTAACAATAGCCTCATACCTTTAACCTGAGAATTGACCAGAGTGATTTTTCCAAACCAGGCAAGTGGAGGCGGCACTGAAATTGCCCTATGGTGATTTTCCATTAACGGTTGCGGGGACGCCCGAAAAACCGTTGTGGTTGTGGTCGAGAATTACGAGTTATTAATCAGATACACCATTAATTGAATTGTCCTGAGCCCCATTGGGAACGGCGCTACGCCCCAGAAAGCGCCGATTGAGCCGAAAACATGCTCGCTTGCCAAGACCGATCATGTCGATACCACAAGGGTGTTAAGCCAAGACTTGGGCCAAGGTGGGCTGGTAATGGGGAGAAGAAGCCCAGCTTCCAAAAGACACCGGTGGACGACTTGGCCAAGCTTTATTGGTGAAAGGAAAGTGGTATCATCGGTACCAGAAGCCCACCGACTTACCCCACACTTTTCGTTGCAGCTCGCTACCAAAGATGTTCCCGCCTCGCCATTGTGCGACGTACCAGGAACAATTTAGCGATTAGTCGGCTTTGAGTTTATTATTTTACACGATGTTGAGCCAGTAGTTGCAGGACATTACGATAAAGTGCCCTTCGGCGTTGTGGAGACTACTAACGACCGTTGGGGTGGTATGGCTCAAGCGATGGTTTACGTTAACTTGAACCATGGTATCATGCTTCATCGTATGTGGTTTCGGCGATAGGTACGAGCAGGTACCAAACGAATTGACACAATTGATGGTACCAAATCTGCGCGAAGCAGAACCACATTATACCGTGCGTTTAATTGAAAATGATAGTGGTTATCGGGCTGGACGGCTATATAAGGACGCCGACTGGCACTTGAGCTTCTCTATAATCAAGTACAATGAAGTTCCAAACCGTCTTTACCATCACTGCTTTGGCTGCTATTGCCACTGCTGCCAGCTCTGCTGAAGCTGCTGAAGCCTCTGTGGAAGCTCACGCTGGCCACGACCATGACCATGATCACGGCCATGACCATGATCACGACCACGACCACGACCACGACCACGACCACGATCATGCGAGCGAAGCCAATGGTGGTGAGGCCAAGGCTGAAGAAACTGCTCAAGCCTCTGCTACCACCGGTGATGACCACGACCACGCCCATGAGTCGGGCGAATCCGGTCATGACCACGACCACGCTCACGAATCCGGTGACGACCACGACCACGCTCACGAATCCGGTGACGACCACGACCACGCCCATGAATCTGGCGAAGCTGCTCATTCTCATGAATCTGGCGAGGCCGATCACGCCCACAGCAACACCGTCAGTGCTAAGAGCGACAACGGCGCCGTTGCTGTTGGCTTCGGCACTGGTGCCGTCGCCCTTGCTGCCGTCTTGTTGTTGTAAAAAATTACTTTTACGTAAACTAACTAATATGTTTTCATCTTTCACTTACCCTGTAGTGCTACAAGAACTTCGATATCCATGCATTCGCTGAAAAGCAGTACGCCATCTGACCTCTTGCCATTTCAGTGCAATTCGTATCCCTTGTGTATCAGAATCATACGGGTATCTTTCAATTTAGTCGTTCCCTTTGAACATTCACAAGGACAAAAATTCATATCTCGCAAATAGTAATGCTCAAGATCGCATGTTGAGCAAATTACGGTTTTGTGGATCACGACAACCGTATATTGTATCCATGTAATGCATATTACCAACGATCGAAGAGCCTACACAAAATCTACAGAGGTTTCTCCAAAATTCTCCGAAAAATGAACTAAGCTTACGATCTAAAGAAGGCTTGGATAATTGCCACTTAGTTATGGATCTCTTGTTATCTCACAGGTTTTTCGTTCCTCTCGGTAATCTCTTTACTCCATACTGTATCGCGTCCCTCATGCATTCACAATAAACGCAGTAAGTGCAATTTGGTAGCTGGATGTGGCCATGATTCGTCAACTTAAGTATTTGTTACGGTCGATTCGTGGTGAAAATCGTGTGATGACTCCAAAAAGAAATGTCCAATATCACCTTTTTGAGTAATTCTTTGCATATTATGGCATGTCGATGCTAAAGATTATTCGCTCATACTCCGGCGAAAATTACCTGTCGTCGATGCGACCAATAGTCATTGAGGTTATACCCGTAATGTGAAAATTTTATGATCCTCAAAACACTCATAAGCTCCTTAAAGCTCAATGAGTGTTTGTGACCATTGTACTTCTGCTCTTGCTCGACATGTAGAAGCTGTGGCGTTTTCGGTACACCTTCCCCGCTTGACCCTGTCAACCCCAGCTTATCTTACGTCTCGCTAATGTCCTAATCTATCACTCCTGGTCTTCAGAATCATAGGCAGATTTTTACTCACAACCGCGTTCTCAACTCGGCATTGTCGCCACAGTTTCGTTTACCTTTTGTCGTCGCTGGTAGCCATACACTTGTTGCTCGATCGCAAACGGTGGCTGCGACCTCACCTTACCCCCACGAGCCAGAACCCACAACCACCCGTCGGGGAATTGCCCCATGATCCTTCTTATCGATTCCTATGACTCGTTCACCAATAACTTGGCTGATTTAATCGCGAAGGCGACTGGCCAAGAAGTGGTGGTGGTCCACAACGACTCCATTCCCCCATCTGACTACGCCACATTTGCCCAGGATTACTTACGAAACTTCGACTGGGTGGTCATTGGTCCTGGGCCAGGGCACCCGGCCAACGACAGCGACGTGGGAATCATCAAGTGGCTCTTGGACCAGTACCACGATCCTACTTTCGTTAAAGTGCCAATCCTCGGGGTTTGTTTGGGGTTCCAGGCGGTTTGCCACGCGTTTGGCTCTGATGTTGAGCGCTTGGATGTCGTCCGTCACGGACAGGTGTTCCCGCTCGTTGTCACTGACACTCTGGACCTTTTCGCTGGTGGCTCATCACCAGTGGACGTTGTGCGGTACCACTCATTGTACGTGCCTCTGATTGGTGATGACCTCAAGCAACTCGCTTACTGTGAAGATGAAGGTAAGGCAATCCTTATGGCGGTGAAGCATCGTGAATTGCCTCTTTATGGGGTGCAATACCATCCTGAAAGTGTGTGTTCTACGCAAGGTTTGGACCTCATCAAAAACTTTGCTGATATCGCTAAACGTTGGAATGATGAACATCGTCAACAGAGAAACATTAATACGGAAGCTGTTGATAAACTCAAAGGAATATATTCCGTTCATTTCGAGCCCTTGATTGAATCCGGTGAATTCGCGCCTCAAGCCGATAAGAAGCTCATTCTGAAAACTATTTCTCTTGATGATAACGTGGGTCCGGTTGATGTCTGTGATCATTTACACCATGAGGGTATACCGTTCGTGTTACTAAACTCTGCGGCTGTGCCTGGTGAATGGTCTGTTATAGGTTTGCCAATTGAGAATCAGAGTGAGGTGATAACGCATCTGGTCGATACCAATGAGGTCACCATTTCATCCTACGGTTCAAAGGAGATTATCAAAAAATGGGAGGGCAGTGGATGGGAATATCTTGGTCAACAGATGAAACGTAACTATGTATCCCCCGAGAACCTTAAGTTGCCTAATCCATCCATTCCTTTTGTTGGAGGGTATATGGGCATTATAAGTTATGAGGAGGGTCAACACATCACATTACTGAAACTTCCAAAAATCTGCAATGGGCCCGCGCCCGACATGAAACTTGTTTGGATTGATCGAGTCTTGGTGTTTGACCACATTCAACGCCAATGGCACATTATGTCTTTCCTTGACGATGACGATTCTTGGATAGATCGAATTGTTAACGGGATGAATAATGTAAAACCTATTGACCTTGAATCGATTCCAATGACGGTAGAAGCAATTGGCGAGGGTAACATCGAGTACGATTTACCGGTATTGGACGTTTATCGCGAGCAGTTTGCTAGATGCCAAGAGTACTTACATTCAGGCGACTCCTATGAACTTTGTCTCACAACTCAATCTACCATCAGGGTCCCGACTTCAACTAAAGCATGGGATATCTACAAAGTGTTGACTCTTCGCAAGAACCCTCTGCCGTATCTGTGTTTCTTTGAGTTTGATGATTGTGTCCTCATATCATCATCACCTGAAAGATTTCTTTCTTGGAAACGTACCGAGAATGGCAAGCTTGCTCAATTACGTCCGATCAAAGGTACTGTTCGCAACACCCCTGAAGTCACTTTTGCCGATGCGGAGCGGATTTTGCGGACGCCCAAGGAGATGGGAGAAAACTTGATGATTGTTGATTTGATCCGCCACGATTTGCTTCAATTCTTACCCCAGGTCGATGTGCCTCAATTGATGCGAGTGGAGGAATATGCAACCGTCTACCAATTGGTTAGTGTGATCAATGGGTACTTGGCTGATAACGGTTACAAAGGTATCGACGTTCTCTGCAATTCGCTCCCACCTGGGCTGATGACAGGCGCCCCTAAGAAGCGAAGCATCGAGCTTCTTCAAGACATAGAAGCTTTGCAACCTGGCTACGGCCGCAGAGGTATCTATTCCGGAGTGGTGGGATACTGGTCAGTGACGGACGACTCTGACTGGCTGGTAGTGATCCGCTCCGCTTTCCATTACCCTGACGATAAACTTAACACTGATACCACCAAGCTTTGGCGCATTGGAGCTGGTGGTGCGATCACGGTACTCAGCAATCTTGACGACGAGTGGGAAGAGATGCGGTTGAAGTTGACGCTGGCACTCCAAGCATTCACTAATAACGTAAATAGCTAATTCGTCATCTACATTCTAAAGATTCATCTAATAATGGTAATCATCTGACTTTTGTCCCGCTGTCGAAGGGAAGCACACCTCGGCGAGTATCTGTTCTGGACCATCGTCCTTCACTAAGTCATGCAATTGAGTGTTCTTACAGAGGAACAACCCCAACATGCCGCAAGAGTTGAGGCCTAACTTTTCATGGTAAACGCCCAGCTTACGAGGCACCACCATCATCCACTTGGGAGTCATCAAAAAATTGTAACTCATTTTCGTAACGTCATTGTCCCGCAACACAGTGGCCGCTCGAGACACCAACAGCATGTAATACATCAGCAAGTCGTCGGCAGTCATGTCTCCGTCCGGCAAGCGAGCCACGAAGTGGGCGAAGGGTAAGTTACCATTTTGGAGTGGTTCGTTTTTGTTGTTGGGTAAAAATGATGATGACGAGTCGGCCAACCTGTCAGCAAACGAGATAAATTCACCCAGCGGCTTCTTCATGAATTGAACATGTTTGTGAGGCTGCGACGCTCCCAGCTCGGGACCGCAGTTGAAGAAAGCAAACCAATCGTTTCCTACGTGCTTGCACACCGAGTAAATAGCCTCAAGTTCTTCTGGCAGCAACGGCGTGTCTTGCGACTTGAATTCCTTCGTGAGCAACATGAAGTGGCACGGCACCACGGGGTATTTGTTGAAAACTAATCTAAATTGGTTTTCTTTACCAAAGTCCTCAACAATGGTAAGCGCTGGCTCAGGCTCCAAGAAGGGGTTCTTCTTTTGCTGTCCCTTTTCCGGCCGTTTCATTAAAGACGGCAACATTGTGTATTGGACGTCCATGTGCGGCAAGTGGACGACTTCAGTGGTGGCTCCCTTACCATTGAACTCAAGTTCGCCATCAGCTGCAGCCTTTTCGAACTTCTGCTCGAGAATGTTGGTGAAATCACTGGGGAGGGAGATTGACATGGCTGCTCTTTAGTGCGCACGACAGAGCTCCACTATAGTAGCAACTTGATCAATGGAATAACACTCTAACTTTCACATAGAAATGGATTACCGGTGACTTGATATGTATTTCCACAAATCTTTTCATATTGCGATCAAAAAGTTGGTTATGAATTCGTATATGCTTATCACCACCAATGCCGCACTCCATCACTTACTGATACCAAACCTGGAGAGGCTTGATCCTGTGAGCTTTGACAGCCCATCCTGAAACAGGCTCGGGAAGTCCAAATAACCGACCAACTACTAGTTTTGGTGATTTCATCGAGCTTGTATTAAATCATACGTCCCATACATACCCATTCCAAGTCATCTCATCGGACATGTCTGCCTTCGCTTCCCTACAAGACAATGATGCAACTGAAGATGTGATCAAATATGAACAAAACTCGCTGGACGATGATACAGAGGAGGGATTCCGGTCACTGGCGCAGCCTCAAGCTCAACAGGTGGTGCCTCCTTGGGAAGCCATTGAACTTGCAACCGTCGACTTGGCAGTGTACAACCTGAATTTCTCTCCCAATCAACAAAACTTTGCCATGGAGGGCAAAACCTCATACGTGGGTTTGCTGGGGCCAGATCATATCATTGTGTGTGGCCAGTTCAAACTTACTGTACTTCTAGGTACACTTCTCATCAATGATTGCCATCAACTCAAAAGCAGTGAAATTGCCCTCCCCATAACAGTCACTCATGCTCAAGGGCTCTTACTATTTGGTTCGGTGCCGTCTGAATCGACCTCCTCCTCGCCTAATCTACCAGTTCAAGGGGAAACAATCATCAAATTGGAACAGAATTTCACTGGTTTGGAGAAAATCAGTACTTACGCTCCATTGTACAAACGTCTCCTTCCTCCGTCAGCAGACTTATTGGAATCAGATGCGTTTCAAGCAAGGTTCTACCTGCTATCATATGAGATCATTAGCGGGCATCTGCCGACACCCGCTGTGAGTATCAGCGGCGACCAGTTGAAGGCGCTTGATGCGGTCACACTGTTTGTGGGTAAACCCAAAAAAGCTTCAGTGGTGTGTATCGTTGGGGGGAAAAACAGCGGTAAGCTGACGTTTGCGAAGGCTTTATCAAACCAAGTGTTGCTTCAATATTCACGAGAAGTGTGTTATCTTGAGACAGATCCAGGACAATCTGAAGGTATTCCCCCTTATTGTTTAGGGCTTTTGCATGTATCGCAACCATTGCTAGGGATGTTGGAGGAAAGAGTTACCGACACCACTGCTTACTTTGGCTACTCGTCTCCGGCTCATCACCCAAAACTATATTTACAGATCATTCGTCAGCTTCTAGATTATTACCAGAAACATCATGCCACTCAGCGTCATCCTTTGATTATCAATACCCCTGGCTGGATCAAAGGCTTCGGTAAAGAATTGTTACGGCAGATTTGTGATATGATTTCCATTGACCACTTGGTGATCATGGGTCAAGATGACGAAGAAAATTTAGCTGAGACTTTAACCCACAACATGCACCACTTTGTCCCTTGTCTCAGTCATCAGCCCACATTCTCGGCTCCTCATATCCGCACACTTGCTAAATTGTGCTACTTTCATCGTCATGGTCATCGCTATGACTTCGATCACCATTTGCTCGATAACGCCCCCTACAAAGTAAGTTACGGTGTGGAGGGAGGCATCAGAGCGATGTCTGTGCTCAACTACGACTGTCCAGCGAATTTCCAATTACAAGACTTGGTGGCGATGGTTGAGGTGACGATCATGGCAGTGTATGTGGTTGATCCCAGTATCTACGAGCGAATTCCTGTGGAAAGTGGAGATGAAGTACCCAACTACATCCAGGGAAGTACCTGGCTCGAGCTCGAGCCCAAGACAACATTGCTAGGGCTCGCCATGATTCACAGCATCGACACCAATCGCAAGACTATCAATTTGTATCTCGGTCCCGAAGTGATCGAGCGAGTAGATGAAGGGGCTATAGTTTTAGTGAAGGGTGAAGGCGAGATTCCGCCATGTGAGCTTTTGAACCCCGGCATGCTCAGCAGTCACAAACGACACTTGGACGTTTATAACGATCATAAAAAATCGGGCGCCGCCACCGATTTGGTCAAGCCTGTGATTCCCTATGTGTCTCTGGATGATAAAGAGCGAGTCGGAGGGGTATGGCGAGTGCGCCGGAACATTGGCCGGAAAGGCCGGTAGGGGAATTCATTCATATGTATATATTACAGCACTTCTACTCATCAACCTCTTCGAGAGTCACCTTTCTCTTAGTCGGGAGAGATTGGCCAGCAGCAGCTCCGGAAGCCGCCTGTTTATCCGATCCCACTGACACAGGAGTGGAAGCGGAGTTTGCTTTGGTGCTGGTAGCGGGAGCAGGGGCCAGAGCACCGGGGGTTGCCGCGGCGGCAGTGCCCTTCGACTTCTTCTTACCCTTCTTCTTCCGCTCCTTTTCCCAACCGTAGGCAGGCTGGAACGATTCAATGACACCGCAGTCTTCGAACAAGTTGGGGAACAACCAAAGACCGCGAGGCATCGTCAATGCTGTGATGACATACACGATCAACCGCACGATGGCGATACCGAAGAAGCAACCGATCAATCCCAATGCACCCATCAGCAAGTACCACACCCCACGCTTCATGAAGTTAGGCCACAACGGGAACAAAATGACGGTGAACACCGCTGCGATAAATAATAACGCCAAAAGTGGTGCGTAAGGGTTCGGCTTCTGGTAGGTCCAGGCGAAGTACGAGTCAGGGTCAACGCGAGCCTCATTGATCCGCTTAAGCGTCGGCTTTTGACGGTTGGGTTTCCATCCGCGTACGGCCTTGATTTCAGCCCAGTGTAATTTTTGCACGGGGACGATCATTTGGTTTTGGATCAACAATACAAACGCTTTGTCGGCGTCAACGTCGGCTTCTATAGGAATCAAACCGTTCTTGGGATTCTGTTGGGCTTTCTTGTACACGTCGCTTGTCAACAAACGACGGAACCGCTTGTAGCGGAAGAAGCTGATGTCCTGTTCATTATTGAGCAAACCCACGCGCTGCTTGAGATCGCGATGGTCCTTTAACCAGCGTGCAAGGGCGATGGCAATTGGAGAACGCTGCTCCGTTTCGACCTTCACCTGCTGACTCTGGACGGGGGCCGCTGGCTTGGCTGCGGGTTGAGACATAGTTGAGGTGTACGTGTACTACAACGCGTGAATTTTCCAGTGCGAGTTGTCTCCCCGGTCGATGGTGTTGAGCCCGGGAGAAACCCCCCAAGTCAAGCCAGTGATTCTCAGTAATTGGAATCAGTTCGATAGCTGAGACCAACATGATCCTTCGACCGCGATGTATTCATTCAAGTACGAGCCCTAATGCCACTGATGGAGAGCTCCGTGAGACTCAGACTTTGGTTATCAGCCTCTTTGCGTTCTAGACAAATGCATATCCCTTCACCACAATCTCGCTTTCATTGATATTACTTCCCGTCAGACTACACTATCGAAGGATTGACCATATTTGGGGGCGGCGGCCAGATTCCTCGACTCCGTTTCCCTGTTATGCAGTAGTCATTTTGGTTTTGAATAGCCAAAGCTGGCAGGGGTGGCGTTTGGTCGATATCGAAATCAATCGACTTTTTGACGTTTGACAGGGAAACTGTACTCATTCGTCTATAGTTCGGATAAATTTCTACTGTACTTCTAACGGTTGTCGCAGTTTGGTGACCATCGGCTAACCTATACTCGACTCGCTTTGTCGTTGTACTATTTTAGCCTCCATCCCTTAGTACATTGGCCAATGCCACTTGATAGCCTTTACAGTCCTACTAGTTGTTAATTCGCAAGTCGCTTATACTGTGGCGCGTTAAGTTAAATGATTTAAAGGTGAATAAGTTTGCAAAACACTACAAAATTTATAATAAACTTTTATTCAATATAGGTATCAAATCACAATATCACGCTAGGTGAATTAAAGGGGAATCACAAAACAAAGAGAAGCAACATCGCCGCCAACGATCTCGAGATCAACTTGGTCGACGCGCTGCCCTCAGCAATAACCGAAGGTTCGGACCCACCAGGGGTGGAGCCAGCAGTACTTTGAGCACCAGGAAGTGTCAACACAGTGGAACCAGAGGGTACCACATTAGACCCAGCCAAAGTATTGGCTTGGCCTTCACCGGCGGGCACATTGGGCGAGCCTTCACCTGAGCCGGAGTCGACGTTGTTTCCAGACCCGGTGTCAGTCGTCTTGGCCTCGCTTTCAAGGGTTGTGTACGTTAACACTTCACCATTTTCGTTAGTGGTGATCAAGGTGGTGTAGTGAGGAGCCACAGTAGAAGTGATCACACCGCCAGTAGAGTCGGTAGTGACTTCAACAACATGTTCAGCAGTCACGACAGCACCGTTGTCCTTAGTTTCCACAACAGCAGTGGTGTACACCGAGCACACGTCACATTCGGTAGGCTTACTACCGATGGTGGAAGTCTTGGTGACCACGCCACCAGTAGCGTCTGTGGTAACTTCAACAACACATTCAGCAGTAGTCACAACACCGTGTTCGTTTTCCTTAACAATG